CATCAAAAGGCCCTTAGCGATAAATATGAATTTTGTCAACCATTCTTAGTAGTGATGGTTGTGATTACCAGTTTGTCACTTGTTATTCTAGTTTTAATGATAAATTGTTTAGTTCCTTTTTGTACAGTAAAAAAGAAAAGAGAGCAAGTATCTATATACTACATTTAACAGTCATGTGCATGTTTCACGAGAGATTGTAAGGGTAAATTACATTTTTTCTCTTCATCAAATACATCAATAATCTGTAATTCTAATAAATAAAATAAATTTTGAAGATGCCATGCTCCTCCAACCAATGAGTCAATGATTGAAGAAATGCATAACTGACCCGACCAATGTCTCATAGTTCAAAAAATATAATGGAAAACTCGTTTCTTACTGCAAAATGAAAGATCGAGGCAATAATTGTGCAAAACAATCGATAAAGAAACTAAAACACCAGATACTTGTTTGTTGATATTTTCACAGACATTAGTTTTACTTGTTGATTATTTTATTTACACAATAAACATATCTAAAATAAAAAATAAAAAAATTTCGAGTTGAATTCTAGAAAGTAAAAATATAAATCAAAAATGTAAAAACGAAGTGGGATTTTCAATTAAGGCAATGACAATAATATTATAAATAGCACTGACTGTTGGAATGATGACGGCGGAATACAATGGTATTTGTACTAATCCTAACGTAACAATTGTTATAAATAAAAAAATAATAAAAAAAATGCAACTAATCAAAATTAACGACACTACAAATAAACCACAACCAAAAAATAACAAGAAAGACTGATCATAATATATATAGGAGATAGTACAAAATACATTGCAAATTCGCAAAATTTAAGAAGAATCTTTCCTAATTCTACAAAAAAGTGAACTAGAAAATATTGAATCCTACTATAAATCTGAATAACTTGAAACTTCGGAAACAATATATCATTGTTTTTAATTCTCCGATATAAAAAAATTGCAGGAGATACCAAGGCTATTACTGGAGGTAAACTAATTGCAATCAATACCAAGTGTCTGCTTATGATGACATAATCATCTTTAAGACGTAATAAAATCACGCCTTGGATAATTGATGGTATAACCAATGATATTGGTTTTAGATTTCCGATATAATTACTCATCAAAATTGCAATTACTTTAAAAATCTCAATAATAAAAAATTTGAAATTTTTTGTAGTAAAATACAAACGAACCGCATTTAATAAAATCACGTAAGCTATATATATTATACGGTCTTCTTCGCATTCTTTATCTAAAAAATTTGATCTATAATAAACTAGCTCCAAAAACAACCAAAAAAATACAATTATTACTCCATGTATTATTGCTCTGGGTCTAACTTCTTTGTCAATCCCAGTGATCATTCCAAGTGTGCTAAGAATCATGCTTAAAAAGTTAAGTAAAGCTGTAAAAGTAAACTCAAATACTTTTATATCTCTATGTCTCATACTTCTATGTGAAGAAAAAAAATAAATTCCGATACAAATATCTAGTGCTTGTATGAATGCATCAATAAATGTGTGATATAGTCTGATTTAGAAACATTAGTGGTAAAAGGTAAATCAGTAGTATCGTCGGATGAAGGTTGTGAAAAAGATGTAAAGGAAACGGTGGAAAAGATGGCTGAAGAAGAGGGTGGAGGTGACAAAGATTTAACATTAGAAATCAAAAATGAAGATAATAAAAGAATGATTGATGTAAAGTTTGTTAGAAAAGAGTGACAGTTTTTAACATGAAAAATATCCATTTCGAAAATAATTTCAAAATTTTTAAATTTAGTGTATTGTTTATTAATTTATTATTATTATTGTTATTATTTACGTCGTAGGGAACCAACCAATAAAGTTTTTATAAGGTGTGGGAGGAAAACAAATAAAAATAAGGAAAAAGTGCTACATTCACTCACTGCCTGGTGAATCTCATTATTTGGTTAATGTTGTAATAGAGACAATATTAACATATATAAGTGAAATGAAAGATTAAAAAAAAAAATAAGAGTTTCTATAGATGATATTTACTTTTTTTTCATTTCAGATTTTTAGATTCAGGCGAGGAACTGAAATATTAAGCAGGCGTGTATATTCAGATTCCGAAACGTAGCATTCATGATCATGGTTTACTGGGCTGCACTTTTGACATACTGCTTTATTGCATAGCCAATGAATTTTCAAGTCAGAGAATTCATCCCAATGGATATAGGATTGAGAATTGGTACATTGGTGTCAAAGACAATGAATTCATCCCCATAAAAAACTGTCTAAAAGGTACTGAATACATACTAATACGTTATGAAATATACGGAATTCAAATATTACCGTTAAATTTTAAATTCCACCAATTAATTTAAAATCCTATCCCCGTAATTGTTGACCATAATATATAAATAACAGTTTCAAAGTGAAAAACTGGCGCTAAATTAGTTTTAAATCGGGATAAAATAACAGTTATCAAGAACATTCCAGTATGTATCATCTGATTGCAAAAAGTATTTTGATTAGAAACCATACACATTTTGCTTAGCATCACAAAGGAAAGCTTAGGTCGGAATTATATATTGGTTCACTGAGAAATCTGAAAAGTTTGAGGGTGCTGATGAGTTGGAGAAATTGGCCGATGGATAGAGATTGAATCCGTCCGAAAAAGACTTATCTGGATCACCCATCAGACCAAATACACGGGTGATTCGGATGATTGACGCTTAATATTACTCGATCAAATGATATAAATAATTTTTGTTTACAAACAATAACTGATTCACTGCTTCATGCCCTAAATGTGTTCTTTTAGAGGTAACCAAATTTCCTGCATCAGAAAATGATGCTCGTATGGAACAGAAGTAACAGGAATTGATAAGTGTTCACGTGTAATTCTACTAAGAATGGGAAAAGAGAATATGTTCGCAAAATTATATTTCAAGTCCTTAACAATTTATTAACTGTATATCAAATTTTCACACTTATTAATTGGGAATAAACATTTTAATAAACCAGATAAACCAATTATTGAATTAATCGAAATAATTAAATTTGCAAATAGATTAATTACTGAAAAGCCTTTACTATACCTATCCTAACTCAGATTTAGTATGGACACCTTACGAGCATAACAAAGTTGATGGAATGTGTATTCGGCTCAATTTATATATTAATATGTTGCACACCAAATTCAAAATCGTAATTGACATGTGTGAAATCAATAATAGAACCCAGGATTTGGATTTTATACAACTACTACATAGAATGTTCCTATTTATTCACACAAATGATCAAGTTTGTAAAGATTATGCAGATTTATATAAAACTTTATTTTGTTAAAATTACTAAATTGATATTTATACAATATTATTATGTTTATCAAAATTACTAATTAATGTTAACACAAAAATTAAATTGATGATGATACATTCATTGGGTTGAAAAAAAGTCAAAAAAAAAAAAAAAAATTAAACAACAGGTTGATCGTTGATGCTCAAATAAGGTTGATTATTTGTATCAGAGTTTGAATAAGATTGTGGAATTTGAAATTGTTGAGGAACAGGTTTCTGCTGGTTGGTCATTACTGTGTTCATATTTTCGTTATCATTGGAACCATTGATGTCACCGCCTCCTTCACTCACAACTTGATTTCCTTTGTAAAATGCAAAAACTGACAAGAGTGAGAATATAAGGGATATCATCACAAGACTAAATCCACCATCTCCAAATTTCAAAGGTAAAGCATTATCTTTAAACCAATTTTCGAGTTTTGAAAACATATCAATTTGTCCTGTCATTGCTAACAAGATGATTAGAGAACTGAATAATGCAAAGATCCATGTCATACTTTTATTTACAACATGACTACGAGCATAAATTCCGATGCAAAGCAACATTAGTGATGTTATTACACCAATAAAATATATTCAAACAATTATTATAGTGTATATAATATATTTTCACACTTTAGTGGTATGATTAATCACTAAATACGTTACCAATAGCATGCATAATCAACAAAAATTTTGTACCGTCAAAAAATGTTCGAACTTTCAAAATTATTCTCGCATTCATATTTATAAACAGTAAAATCATGATCATTCTTACTTTTATTATAAAATTGCGTACACCTACCGTATATTCTAAACAACACCTTCTCATTCTCACTACTCCTATAACTCACAATATAAATTGACTTGATAATTGGCGTCCCCAAGTTCACTAATAAAAGACACAGGAACGAGATAAGTGACATACCAGCTGCAGCAGTGTATGCAGTTTTAGCGGAAATAGCAAAATCCATTTCTATCTCTTATAAAAATGATTTTTTTAAATAAAGAAATTGAAACAGGATAACAGAACTTGAGGCTAAATGACTCTTTGGTAATAAAAATCTTGGATTTAAAAATCAAGCGGAAAGCTATATATAAAAATTTTCTCATCTAAATGTATTTTTGTACTCCTATTCTTTTTATATAAATGTTGTGTTTCACCAAGATATTGAAACCAATTTCGCATTTTTCATTTTACATTCGTTGTGTTCATCAGAAAGTAATGATTATTCTGATGCTAAAAACAGTGTTATTATTTTTAATCATCCTCTTAATCGAGATTTTAAATAATACTAATTAATACTCAATACTGATATTTTATTTTCTTGCCAAAAATCGTAGATATAGTCATAACTGATAAAGAGAACCAAATTCAAGTAAGTATATATTAAATATACTTGATATTTTCTGGCCTTTATTTTTATTTTGTAAATTAGATTCAAGTTGAGTGCAATTATGAGTATAATAATAAAAATATTAATGGTGTGAAACTCAAAAACATAAAATATAGGTGGGTTAATAAGTATTGCTAGTGATGCCGGCTAAGAACTTTGACGAATAATATGTATATTCACTAAAAAATAATAGTTTATAAAAAAAGGACATTATTTATCTAGTTATTATATTTTTTTTTTTTTGCAAATAAATTCTCGGCTGATGAAAACAATCTCTTACATGTAGAGATGTTCCATGCGCATGAAAAAAAAAATGCAGAAATAAAATTTTACAGTATAAAGTTCATAGTGTTATATTTGGCAACTCATTGGAATGGATATCAACCAATAATGTGGATTTATTAACCTGGTGGAAAGGTAATTTTGGAGCTGTAGCACATGAATTAACAAAAGTTGCGGTAAGAGTTCTTTCTATTCCTACCTCATCAGCTACAGCAGAAAGGAATTGGTTTACATTTTCTTTTATACATGATAAAAAACGAAATAAATTGACAAATGATCGTGTTTAAATTAGTTTATAATTGAAAACCCCAAAGGTAAGTAAAGTTACAAATGTAGGTGAAGATATTGATGATAGTAATGATGACGATAATGATGATAGTGATGATACTGTTGATGATAGTGATGGCAATGTTGATAATGTTGATAATAGTGATATTGACAGTGATGATAAAAATGAATTATCTGTAAACATTTAATTTTCATAATATATTTTTAATAATGAATAAATAATGCATTAAAAAATATTAAAAGTAGTAATGCCGAATATAACGTTGAGTGATTTTTCTTAAATTTTGAAATTTCATACAATTTCCATTCCTAGGCTTTAGGGGAATTTCTCTACGAAAAAAAAAACAAAAAAAAGTTTGACGGCTGTCCTATTTATATGTGAATTTAATAAAATAGATTATTGTCTTGGCCCGAGTGATGTCATTTTTTTGCTTTTTGCGACGAAGACGCAAAACCCAACTTAAAATAAATGAATTTTTATTCTCGCGTAGCATGGTTTGCGTGTTTGTAACACAAAAAGCAGAAATTTATTAAAAAACAAGCTTTTAAACGAAAACGTGACAGCGAGCTTCGTGTCTTTTACTCGCACAACGACATCACTCAGGGTCAAGACAATAATAGTCTATTTTATCAATTCAAAAAA